GTAGAGCTGCAACACATCGTTTTCGAGAATTGGGCCACCTGTCACATTGTTAATTTCATCTCAAATGACCGTCAATGTGCAACTAACACTGGCGTACTTTTCTGTAATGAAATAATTGATGCGCGAGGTCAAAAGTTATTTGTAAGATACTGTTGTACAACGAACAAGCATATCCAAATTATGTAGTTTGTACTTGCACTTGACCACGGAAGTTGAGCATAATGTACTGACAGGTAGCTGTAACTTTAATACCTTCTCATGATGCAACCTAGGTGAACATATCATATTGCATTGTTTGTAACAGGTGTACTGTTACGGTAAGCATTACTTCATACTCAATGTACAAAAGCGCAAAAAATGCCGAAGTTTGCACTGAGTAGTGCAAGGCTTGAAACAGCAAAGCAGGTGATTCTGACGTCTAATCTAATTGCGGCGAAGCTTTAGCCAGGTTATGCTGGGTTGTTTTAGGTTGTTGGAAGGCTAACTATAAGATGCTACGTTTTATATATATATATATATATATATATATATATATATATATATATATATATATATATATATATATATATATATATATATATATATATATATATATATATATATATATATATCAGATGGAGCCACAGACACGATACGAATGTCCAAGCTCGAGACACCGAAATTCATGCTGAAACCGAGCATTCGGCCCTTCCATAGATCTGCGGGCACATCGTCATTCGCGTATGGCTTCCATCACTTCGAGGTCTTCTCGCAGATGCCCTTTCTTCTTCGTAGTACATTCTCTCGTTGTGCGTACCATTCAAGCAAGCCGTGCCGATTCTCGAGCGCAGCTGGGACCATCCGGTCATGGTGTTTATCACTGGCTTTATCCCGATGGTTTATTGAAGCTTGTCTCAAATATTGGTTACGTCTGTGTAGAAAACATGTGTAGAAAACATGTTTTTGATTGATTGATTGATTGATTGATTGATTGATTAATTGATTAATTAATTGATTGGTTGATTGATTGATTGATTGATTGATTGATTGATTGATTGATTGATTGATTGATTGATTTGTGGGGTTTAACGTCCCAAAACCACCATATGATTATGAGAGACGCCGTAGTGGAGGGCTCCGGAAATTTCGACCACCTGGGGTTCTTTAACGTGCACCCAAATCTGAGCACACGGGCCTACAACATTTCCGCCTCCATCGGAAATAAAACATGTTTTTTGTCCGCTAGTTCCCTTTATTTTTAGTTAACCAGTGGTGAGTAGCGGTATTTGCACAGTTTTAGCGGCACACACTCGTTCATCATGATAATAGCTATATGCACACATTTGTAGCAAGAACATTTCTACGGCCGGTTTAAAAAACTTCACTTTTTTTTGCGAATGAATAATTCAGCGCAGACTTGTTACAGTATTTCTTCCCAATTTTCACGCTTTTCTCAGTTTTCAAAGGTGAAGGGGGCACTCCACGCACGTTATCACTGATATTAGCAAACCCTGAATGGTAGTTTCCAATAGTGACATCGAACGAAGCGGAATTACCAACCAAAGCAACTTGTTTCACTTGTTGGGTGACAAAAACAAACGAGTCTTGAGCCACTAGCCACGAGTGGCCAGCCGAGATCGCGTGTCCTGGCATCCGCCTCAACATGGCATCCGTGTCCTGTCACAATGCTCTTCAATTCATCAGTGAACATGACTTAAGACTCTTCGTAACAATGTGGCTTTAAGTAAAGCTTCCTGATCCATTACTGATGAGTCATGAACTCTCCGTTCGCTACATGCGTACAAGTGAAAATGTTAGCCATGCTTCAGAAGTTCGCCTACTTCTGTACAAAGGAACTTCTTTCACCTATGTGAACTTTCATGAGTTGTTCAATTGTACCGCATTTGCGTAAGTTATGTTCGACTGTATAAGATTTTCCACCCTTAAATATTTTACTAAATATTGTCTGCGATAAGCGAGAAGAAGCAGCCGGTGCCACCATATATTGGCCCCAGCCTTGCCAATTCATCATTTCGGTAAAAAGGGTAATTAGCGAATTCCTGAGATTTTTGCTACATGATCAAGCAGAGGTTTACTTTCAGATAACTCTATTGGAAACTTTATGTCTGTAATCGTTTTTTTTTAATATATGAAGACTCCTAATGCGAGTTTCGCTAAGGTGAGGCGGACACTCTTGTCTGTCATCTTATATCACGCGTTTCAAAATCTGACAGTCGAATGCGCGAAGTATACTTGCGCCCAAGAAGTGTTATGGTTTGTTTGAAAAAGGTTATCGAAATGTATTATTATGCTTCTCCACACTACACCGAACCATCTTTCTATTTTATGGCTCCGAGGTAAAGGAAATAAAAACATTTTTTACATTAGGTGAAGTTCGAATGCATATCGTAAAACAGTGTACATCTGACCCATGGAATCAAACTAACAACCCTGCATGTTTATGCTGGGCGCTCAAAGCCTTATATACTCACTGCTGCATATTGTCCTTGAAATCACGAGAGCTGTATTCGAGAATATGACGCTTCAGAAAAAAAGACAATTGGGGAAACAAGTGCTGATAATCTGATAGCAACGCCTAAACAACATGCCGAACATTAGGTGAACTTTTCTACAAAACACACTCAGATTGCTCGTCACCATATTAATAGTGCATCGTATACGTATTCAGTTTATGAGCTGACTAGGCACCACCGCTAAAATGTATAAAAACGCGTGCGCTCATTGCAACGTGCGTGGCCATGGGCAGAGCTTCACTGGGCGTATTGGTCTATGGTGAAAGTTAATAAACAGCCCTGTTATCGTTAAAAAAAACACTAAAGTGAAGCACTAAGTTAGGGTAAAATAATAATTATCATGGTAGTATACCACAGTATTTTACTACAATGTTCATTATCCGAAAAGAAAAGGAAGGTGAGAACTTCATTCTTGAATTTACCGCGAAGCTTTCTTTTGAAGTCACGGGTTTCAAAGTTTTTTTTTATTTTGACGCATACAAGCTCAAATAAATTACCTGAAACTTGCTATGCCAAGTGTCAGGGAATTAAAGAACACAATATAATTATTATGGTCTTTATAAAGAGCTTATGTTGGTCATAGCTCCGTCGAAACCTATATATGAAGTGGCGGCGAGCTTATGCAGAAACCACAAAATGAAGCCACCGCCGGTACTTTCACACTTTGCTTTGCTTCGTGAGCGTATCCTCACGAAAAAAGTGGGGCGTTGAAAATAATGAAAAAGCAACTCACAAGATCTTTCTAGCGTCCCCTTTAGAAACAGCATACATGCTCACTGTCTCCGAACTAGAAAGTGTAAGCAAAATTTAGTAGCATACTCAAACTGCCGTGGTGATTACTGTTTAGTTTTCTTACCCATACCATAAATACAAGTGAATATTGCATTCAAAAATTAAACTATGACACACATGCTACCATTATTCCCTCTCCCCACCAAAACTAATGAGCTTTGTGTATCAAGCTGTAGTTTTACGCAGAAACATAGTAAATTAGTACGGCGACATAGCAGCTGCCCTAATTTCCGGCAATGTTTTTTTTTTCTTTTTCTCATCTTTCTTGTACTGTCAACATTTATGAACGCTAATAGATACAGCAATATGCATCTATCAGCAAGTTCACATTCGAGTGCTAGCTGTATTCTCCGCAAAAAAAAAATAATGATTGATTGATATGTGGGGTTTAATGTCCCAAAACCACTATATGATTATGAGAGACGCCGTAGTGGAGGGCTCCGGAAATTCAGACCACCTGGGGTTCTCTAACGTGCACCCAAAAAAAATAAAATCGATAAAGTAACCAATCATGTATTTAACTGAAACCGCAAATATTGAGTAACTAGGAAACTCACATAAACTCGCATAAATGACATAGGACAAAAACTTCCATTTTAATCAGACCAATAATATTCCGACTAGAATTATGTCGACAGAAATCAAACTATACCACGGTGAACTACAAAATAAGAGATGGAAGGGGATGGGATGAAAGAAAGTTGTCCCGGTTAATTCATAGAGAACACCGAACGATCTATGGATATTAAAAAAAATCTAGAGCACTTAATTGCTGTCCGGTTTTTGCCTCTCTTGTATGTTGACGGGAGACCCGTGATCCACTCAGAAGTTTCAAAAATGGAGCCAGTGGACAAGTCCTTTCCTTTCGTAAGCACACACAGCCATGCCTCGAGTCCTTCGAAATGGACCAAAATTTCTAGATTGAATCAAGCACTTAAGATTATGTAGTCCCTGTGAGCGGCTCTGTATGGAGGCATAGTTTCTGCGTACTCGCATTAACGAGAAAGTCCGGCACATATCTATGCTCCGTTTTTTCTTCTGGTCGACAGGCAGCTTTTTGTTCGTGTTATCTGTTTACGCTCGACGCGGCACTCGCGTCGTCCACGCTCAGTGAGTTGTTCTAGCCTAGTTCAATACACACCGCTTAGAATCCGGGGCTGTCCCAGCGAGGCGTTTACCGTAAAAGGAGAGTGAGGGATATTTAGAGTAGCGGGTGCGTTGAGTAGTAGCTGTGGATCGCATGACTACATCCGGCCACCTATCGGCCCGCGCCTGACCGCGAGCTGCAACAACGAACCAATTGGCACGATTGCTCGTGCGATCGCCCGGAGTCCCACTGGCGGGCATGTGGGTGCCAGGAAGCTCTCTTTAGATTCCCGGCCACAGCGCGCGGTTTGGTTCTGAAAGTGCGAAGTGGTGCAGAGCGCGCGGGCGCGATGTAATAAGGCGTCCCCGTAACGCGCGTGTGCATGATTTCTTTTTCTTTACCGAGACTTCCGTCTTCCGAAGGCAAAGAAAAAGAAACGCGAAGTCCGTAGAAACTCCCCGGTCCCGCAGGCGTTGCACGTAAGCCTCCTTTCATCGTGCGGCTGAAGTTAAAGGGGAGTGGGGGTGGGGGGTTATGTGGGAGGGGGGAGGAGTGCGTGTTTCCCCGGATACTGGGTCAACTTTCACCCGCCATCTCGGCCCGTCTCTATAAAACTGCGGCGTCCAACTCAACTTGTCCACACACAACCACCGAGCCCCTCCTTTTGCACCGAAGACACAAGGAATACCACCCACCACCATGAACGTTCTCGTAAGTGTGGACTTCAGTGCTGCGACGTACTGCTCACGCTGCGCGTTCAGGTTGCACGTGATTGGCGAATGTACACGCGAACGAAGCGGCCGCGTGCATTTCAGCTAAAAAACTTCCCTTGGAATCTCGGCACGAGCATCTGCCGTTAGACACCATTGTCCCACGAGGCGATGTTACTTCGATGAGAGCGCGAATTCAATATGAATTTATCCTATAGAGAAAGCCCAGGAAGTTGTTGCTTAACAGCTTCATGGACTTTCTTTGTCCGTGGTTCTTGGTGCATACTATGCTGAAAAATAAGCATACGGTTCTCCTGAAATATCTGTAGCTCTGGGCTAAGGGCTGTTTTTGTCCATGTCATTCCAGAAGCCCCATACGAAAATATTTTCATATCAAACAGATTTCATATCAAGCCGTAAATAATTGCCAAACAAGCATAATTGTAAAATATAATTGGAATGTCATGTGAAAGCAAATGTTGCGCGTATATGGTTCGAGACATTTTTCCAATGTCCGCTCAGCGATTTCGTTCTTTTCATCACTGAGTAAGGGACATTGCGTCGACCTGTTTTGGAACGCTAGCGTTACAAATACGTGAAAACAGCTCTTGACGCAGCAACCAATATCATTTTCTTCAATAAAGCGCGTGAACATGCTCAAAGCCGACGCTTCAACCAACATATTGAGTATACACATGCGTCGTACAGGAATAACATTGGCTCTATTTTAAACAGTACTAACTAGTGTTAGTGTGAAAAGACCGGCAACAAAAAAACAATTATGTAGTTTATGTTTATTTAATGCATTTACAATAAGGACACACACACACACACACACATATATATATATAAAAGTCAAAGTTGAACGCAAAGTAGCTGTTTGGTAGCAATACCGTCCGATCGATTATATGCAAGCTTTATCGTTCAACGCTCACGGTCAACTGAATCCCGCTTCCCATGCAGGCAAACCTTCGGTATGTGACCACAGGTGAAGCGTTAAAATAAGGAAGAGGCATGGGCGTCGGAAAAGGCAGCTACAAAAGAGCCGCCCAACTTTAGAGACTATAGTCGTTACCTGAAAACAAACATGAAGTTTACCACATTGCTCGAACTGAAATAGAATGACCACCGTATAATTCAATCTCGTCCAAAACAGATGCAAGCACGACCGTTATAATTGAATGGGGAATGCCGTAATCGGGGATCCTAGACTGACTGACTAGATGGTGTCCTTTAGCGCGCCCCTTGATGAACGGGCACTCGTGTTTTTTTTTTTTTCATTTTTCTTACATATAAATGTGACTGCCGTGGCCTGGGATCGAAAACGCACCCTCAACCTTCGCTACCACTTAAAAACATGCGCAGACATCTAGACACCATAACCGTGATTTCTGTATACTTTCCCTTGAAATTTCTCTCTCAGACGAAACATGAGGGAAGCGTGTAACAAAAAAAGCTCATTGTGGGCTCTCAAAGGTACTTTCTGTGCTTTTATCGTTGCTGACGTATATATCTGCGCATAAAATGGCCCACTATTCACTCTTACATTTTCGTCCACCTCGGTGGATCAGTGACTAGGGTGCTTGACTGCTAACACAAAAATCGTGCGTTCGTTCCCGGCCGGCGTGGTCACATTTCAATAGAAGTAAATAGGTGGAGGTCCGTGTATTGTGCCATATCGGTGCACGCTAAAGAACACCAGATGGACAAAACTTCCTGAGCCCTTCACCACTACGTCTCCTAATTATATCATGATTTTGAGATGTAAAACCTCACACATTATATAATGTTACACTCTCACATTTTCAGCATCACCAGACATGGCGGCACTAGCTAGCTTGTATTTGTAAATTTGGACCGGAAATCAAGCTCCTGGGAGATGACCTGAGCAACTTTGCTTTTCCGCTGTGTAGTGCCGAATATACAGTGTATATGCCAGTAGAAACTAAATTTTCCAGACATGCACTGAATGACCACCTCAACTCGAATTGTGACTTGGCTAGATGCTTTTTATTGAACACTCATACTGCAGAAAAAAATTTGTTCGCTTTAGCTGACGCACACTTCGTTGTTAAAGCACACCTGCGTTGTTTTGAACAAAGTTGAACTATCTAACAAATTTGTTTTGAAGCGTATGAACAAGTTGGGACCTATACAATGAAGGAAGGATTTAAAGTAGCCCCTGTCGACTACGTGTAAAAAAGTTAATATAAGTATAATTTTATTTGTCATAGCTACAAGTGCTTAAATAGCAAGAGGGATCAATTTTTTTCATTAGTTCATAATGTGGTGCTTATAAAATGTTTTATCACTTGAAGACCTACCAAAAATATTCTTCCGTGGGTTGCTGCAACTACATGGTGTAGCAATGTTTATTTCTGTTATTGCATAGTTCGATGTGAAAAGGTGCGCACGGGTATTGATTGGGTAAAGCGCGATCATTATTTATTGGACTGCTCACAGTTACCGCACAGTGCTTTTCCTGTGTACTATGACTATCATTGTCCCGTTTTAAAGCTCTGCTTTCCAGTATTCCAACTCTTATTTCTGCCTGTAGTCTTAAGCCGTAAACAAGCTGCGCTAATACAACGGTCCGTTGACAACCTAATTGTGCTGATGCGCAGGTCGTCATTACCACGCTTTTCGCGTGTGCCTACGCTGGCGGATATGGTGGCTACGGTGGAGGCTATGGAGGTGGCTATGGTGGCGGCTACGGTGGCGGCTACGGTGGCGGCTACGGTGGTCACGGTTTTGGAGGTGGCCTCGCCTTGGTAGGCGGTGGTTACGGTGGTGGATACGGTGGTGGCTACGGAGGTGGATACGGAGGTGGCTACGGAGGTGGCTATGGCCACGGCCACCACGCTGTCGCCGTTCCCGTGAAGACGGTTTCTTACGTCAAGAAACCTGTTGTCAGCGTCGGCTACGTGACCAAACCCGTGGTGACCTACGTCAAACAGCCCGTAGCCACCGTGTCACACACAGTCCAACCTGTGGTGTCCGTGAGCCATGCCGTTGTCAGCACTGGAGGCTACGGCGGCGGCTACGGAGGTTACGGCGGAGGTCTTGGCGGCTACGGAGGCTATGGCGGAGGATATGGAGGATACGGCGGTGGCTATGGAGGCGGATACGGTGGTGGCTTCGGCTATCTGGGAGGCAAAGGCTACCACGGTTGAAACAACTTAGCCAACATTTTTTAAAGGTCAGCTGCTTCCTCGTTATGATTGGCATTATCTGCGCCGATAAAAACCTTAAGAGCATATTTCATCAACAATGCGCGGCACACACAGTTGTCAACTAATGTGATCGTGGCGAGTTCCGATGTGAAACGTCATGTGAAGATACAGGCTCCGAGTTTAGTTCTGTGCATTCATGACTGACTGCGCAACACGCTTACGGATGCGAATGGACACAATTGGCGTCCGTGGTTTTATTCATACGTTCGGGTGTTGCCCAGCCAGTCATCAATCAGTACCAAATAACTTGCCCAACTGTGCTGCTAGTTCAGTGCAGGCCACGGCGGGGTCTTTTTGTTTCTCTCTATTTTTTGTTAGATTAAGGAGCTGGAAGGGTACTAATGAATACACTTGCATTAATTATGCATACACTTCATTTGACATCTGTGTAGCACTCGAAAAAGTTTGCTTTTTACGCGCTCTCAACTCTGGTGAAATTTAGTAAACCACTTGCACGTTTTAGTTTCCTGTATACTGTTTTGTTTTTATGAACAGTATTCCTCGTGCCATTGATTGCACGCGTTTCTTAGATCTTCCGCTGGTGTTCTCAAAATCATGTACAACCAATCAGCCCGCCACCACCTCATATATCGTAATCACAAACAAGGGAATCTGCACAAAATATCAACATATTTTTCCTACCATTTTTTCGTAGGTACAAAGCCGGAGGGTTCTACTCGGCGTCGACGAAGCAAACCACCTGCGGCCATTTGACATGTGTATTTATTTGAATGCTGCAATAAAGCGCACGTTCACTTTTTGTACAAATATGTCACTGGTGGATTTATTTGGAGCAAAGTTCCACAAACAGCCTGCATATTCAATTGTTCAGTCTTGTCAGAGAACGCTAAAGTATATGCGTACATTGCAGTTCCAAGAAACGGTGTTTAGGATAAGTGGACCACAAGTTTTCCTCGGAAAGGTGTAATTACTCGTCATCTATAGCATCACCTAATTTTTGTTAATCACTTGATATTGTTTTGTATATATTCGTAAAAGTATAGTAATGGAACACTGCAAACACACCGCTCTCTACCTTGTGATTTTTACGACAGTCAATAACAGTGATTGCGCTGCAAATGCGAAAGTTCTTGTTCTCTCTATCTACATATACTTCATAATAAAACTACGTTGCTCCCATGTAATGATGCTTCGTTAATCATTAAAAGTTTAATAATGTTTTCCTTAAATTCCTCTACATGAAACAGTAATATTTAATTAATTGGTATGTGGGGTTTAACGCCCAAAACCACCGTATGGTTATAAGAAACGCCGTAGTGGAGGGCTCCAGAAATTTCGACCACTTGGGTTTCTTTGACGTGCACCCAAATCTGAGCACACGGGGCTACGTCATTTCCGCCTTCATCGAAAATGCAGCCGCCGCAGCCGGGAAACAGCAATATTTAAATATAATTGTCATGTAGGATAGCCCAAGCAGGATAACCAGAAACACGCCTGACTTGCTACACTGTGGTGACTGGTATTTTGAGACACAGAATATACGGGCAAATATCAGAGGATGGTCTAGAGGTGCTTTAGTCTACTTGAATTTATGTTTTTATGTCAATTTCAGCAATACTGTTTTGAGCGACAAATTATATCGTCTATGGCTTAGTTGGCTTCACTGTCTGTTGGCCTTATTAGGTTATGTACAAACAATCGAAGTCCTCGAACCCTTCCACTTCTTTTGTGCAGTTGCTACTGAAGCCGTGGCTGAGGGTTTTTTTCGCCTTTTCTTGTTGACGCAGCGTAAGGCTTACTGGTATGAACCACATTATTTTAAAAGAGTACTGAACTTAAAATTTTATTTCTTGTTTTTTTTTTGTTGTTGCAATAGGCAGTTAACGACTGTCTTGCCAAAACTGCAGATCACGTTTGCTGAATCACGCGATGACCGATCACCTGAGCGCTTAGTCGCAGTTTCGATTTCAAAGAGCACCGAAAGAGGTGGGTCCCAGAATTGTTTTTGTCTAGATAACTGGCTGCGGCACACAAAACCTTTTCAACGAAAACATCCTTTATATGTGCCTCTTTATATGTTATTATTTCGCTAGGATAGAACGTTTTAATATCTTGATATGATTACGAGCGACATTGTAGTGGAGGCGGAAATTTTGACCATCTGATGTTTTTTTTTATATTTTAACGTGCACTGACAACACTCAGTATAGGACCCTCTATCTTTTCACCTGCATTGAAAATACGTCTGCCATGGCTGGAATACGACCCGCGGCCTCCGGATCAACAGCTGTGCTCTGTAAACACTGTTTCACTGGGGCGGACTGGAGCTATAATCCCCTGTAAAATATAATAAATATGCATGACCCCCGAAAATACACTGTCGAGGCAAGGGAATCTGCGTTTGTACTTTCGTTAAAGCATATCAAAGAAGTGTGATGCCTTTTTTTTTTCGCTGAAAGGGTCTGCTCGGAGAGAGTGCTTGCAAGGAGCGTGACACAAACTTCTGACGCAAATCGTCGTTGGTTGTTTACGTGAAAACATGCTGGGGGTCGGCATGTCGTCAGGTGCCCATTTCGCGTGTAGCTGCGTGACATACATTTTGAATTGAGTATAAAGTTGGGCATGTTGGTAAGACATAGTAGATCGACGTAGCGCGTTGAGAAACATAGGACAAGGGTCCCTTTCCTTGTCCTATGTTTCTAAATGCGCTACGTCGATCAACTATACATTTTGAAATTGACGTTAAATACGTTCTGGGAAACATTTCTCGATGCCATTTTGTAATTGACGCCCGAGTGTCCACACAAATATATCCCGCAAGATATATCCTTCAAGATTTCAAGGGAGTCAGTACTACTTTAACAGCTTTGGCCAGCTTTTGTACAGACACTGCTAACACAATTTTCCTAAATGCAGCAACAGCTCCACTTCTAAGATATATTTTTTTTTCATTGTCAAACCTACTAGGACTTAGGTTGCAGTATAAAATGTGCGTAATCCAGCCAAAACAAGGTGCGTCTTTTTTTTTTCTTTGCGTGTACTGAAATCCCACTACGCCAAACAATGAGCATAAAAATTCATGGTCTTTCTAGCACTTTTCTAAGAATAAATGTTACGCGTTTACTATTAACTAATAACTGAGAAAGTGTTGCATAAGCTGGGGGTGTCAGTATTGTGCGAAACTCGCCTGTCACGGCTTTATCAGTACAGTTTGACACTAAAACAGTACCGCAAAAATATGAGCTGGGGTCACAGGTGGTTTCATAAAAAGAGTCAAGCTTCATATTATTGATAGTGACAAGCAGGGACTCTAAGATTTGCAGAATGCTCTCGATTTTCGGAAATTGGTTTCGTTCAACAACACCAGATCACATTTCCCCCCATCAAAAATCCCACTGCCCATGCCCCGAGGCGCCATGAAGGCAGATTTGAAATTGTTTGGTAAGACAATTGCGTTTCATTCTTCGGTGCCGCATGTCGTTGAACTGTGCAACGACCTTCCTGTTGATATTGTTTCTTTCACTGATTTTAAATCTTTCTATGACCGTCTACTCTAATATTGCACAAAAAAAAAGAGTTTAAGATTCTCAATATTAATTTCGAAGGTTTAACGTCCTAGAACCTCGATATAATTATGGCAGACAACGTAGTGGATAGATATGCAAAATTTTACTCACCTGGGATTCTTTAGGTGTACTTAAACCTAAGCGCCTCAAGCATTTTTGCCTAAATCAAAAATGTGGCCACCACGGCGTCGGTTTACAGTTCTTGATTGCCTATTTTAATACTTTTTGGTGTGTTTCTTAGTACAGCTTTTTGTAGCATTGCGTAGCGTTGTGTGTGTGTGAGAGAGAGAGAGAGAATAAAATTAGGGAAAGGCAGGGAGATTAATTACAAATTTGAGCATCCGGTTTGCTACCCTACACTAAGAAAAGAGACAATAAGGAATAAAGATGGGAAAGAAAGCAAAGAGCTAAATAGACGCGCGAAAAATTCACGAAAAGAGTGAGCTTGGGTGCTATAACCTATTCAATAGACCCTTTCACTGTTCACAAACACAGACCCTTGGTCACACCTTGTTTCATTCACCGTTTTGTTTGAATGGCATTGGTGGGCAAGAAGAGCATTAGAAAACATCCCGCTGATTTTCTACACATTCCTTCTCTCATTTGGAAAAATATATTTGAATAAATGTTCTTCTTTTGAGCTACATAAAAAACTAACGGAGATTGCGTTGAACATTACGCACGTTCTTTTTATCTGAAAAACTAATAAGAGCCTTTCATTACCCTTGAAAAAAAAACGTGAAAATGGATTTTCAATTTCGGCGTTACGAGCTGGTAAATTAGGTGGCCGCGAAGTAGTTTTGGGGCACAGCGCTTGCAATCTTGAAACCGTCTATAGGCCGCTACCACTCAAAAAGTTCAAGTTCAATAAGGCCTTCACTAATTTTATCACACTCGCACTAATTTTCTGTACTCGCACTAATTTTCTGTGCGAGTACAGATTATGTCTCCTTTCAAGCACTGACTGTTCTGACAAGAGTCTGTCGTCAAGGCGAGCTAACGCAGCAGCTAGCTGCCGTCTTTGCACGCTGTAACGAGGGAATTGACAGAGAACGTGCTCTATCGTTTCATCACTGCCGCAATGATCGCAAGCTGCACTGTCTTCGTACTGTATAACATTGTAACCGTGTACTGAATAACATTGCAGTATTCTACATCTTAGCTGTATGTCTTTGTATTCTCAGGCAATTACGGCCAATGTTACGCACCGTTTAAGGCTCCATGCATACTTCTTGCTCATTTTGTACCTCCTATGTATGAATCGCATCGCCTCTGTCACTCTTGAACATTACAATAACACTGTGCCTTTTCCAGAGTTTGCAAAATACTTTTCATTTTCTTCTTTATTTGACGCAACATATTATATTTAACCATGTAACGGTTCTCTAACATAAGGCTCCGGTAAGGGGTCTGTAAGGTATTGTAAATAAGTGAGAAAAATAAATACATTTTAGTTTTTTTATAAAAGCAATTATTTAAAGCCTCGCCATGGTCATTTAATTTTCCAGAGCATCAATAACGGTGTTCAACCGTATTCGACCGATTGAATGCAGTTGATATTTGCCATCAAGACTCCTTCCTGGAAGAAAAAGTTTTCGCTAATCGTCACCAAGTGGCTCTGTAGTACGGCAACAACATAATCACAAAATAGAAAATTGTCAGAGTTAAATTGTAGGAAAGGTATCAAATCATTATTTGAACACATTACTTAGCGTACTTAATTTTCTTTTTCAGTGTGCTTGGGTTTTACAGACAACTGTTTAAGGAGTTAGCTACCTCTCGGTTCGAACCAGGCCTGAGTGCATCAAAACACTGTGGAATGTTTTTGGTACTTCTAATCAGGCTTCATGCCCAAGGTGATCATCGAGTTCATTGTGGAGCAAACGCGACCACCATCGATTGCGCCGGAATGTACCGAAGCTCATGCACACGTAGCCGACACGTTTGTCTGCAGAGCAGATTTGACGACTGACGACCGTGCTCGCATCGTATCAGTGTACTGCGAGTTTCGTTTTACTGCACCCACGTTTCACCCAAAAAAAGGTTCCCTCTCCACGGGTTTACTAAGGTTTCACGGCGGGCTTGTTGATTATTCATAGCATCCCATGCATAACACATACAGGACATGACAGAGAAAGAGTATGTGTGTGTGGGTTATGCATCTCTTGCTCTGTCCCGTCCTAGATGTGCTACACATTGGATTTACGGCTTTGATTCTTTTTAGCCGCTCATAGCAAGTAACA